CCATATAGCAACCATATATAGAATATGCAATAAAATATTCAAAAGAAAAATATAAAAACAGTTTACATTTAGTTATAAAAGTGAACAATAAAATATTTACTTGAGTTATAGTATAAGTACAAAAAAAATATTATTTCAAATAAAAAAAATTATTTTAAATAGCCATATAAAGGAATAATATTAAAAACCGAGCTGTTTAAACCATGTGGCTGGCTATATAAACATAATGAAAGAAATGGATTTTTAGAATAACCAAGGAGGCTTCTTGGTTTTTCTTCAGATTTTTCTTATTTAATGAGTCTCCTCAATTATGCGTACTTACAAGGAATCTGTTGTCATTTCAAAAATCGTTTTGCAGAAACGGCATATATAGGTCTCTGAGAGAACAATTTTTCTTAGATGTGGTACTACAATTTGCAGGTTCGTTCAGAAACCTTTTGAGAATTTTAACATATTTTCTGCTTAGTGCAAGTTGTCTCTTTTTTAATCTGTCTATGGTCTTAAGAGTTCGTTTAAATGTTCTTAAATTGGGATTTTATTCCGTGTCTGAGTTCTGACAAAGTCTAAGACCACCAAGACCGTTTGGTTATCAGACTTTATATTGATAGTTGCTCAATATTTGTTTCCTCTCAGACTTTCAAGAGTAAATTAAGAAAATTAAGAAAGGTAGATCATTGTATGCCTATCATAGTGTTAGCATCCTAAATTTTCGAACTGTATGTCAGACTTTGGAACTCCCAAACAGAATGAATTGTAAGATTGTTAGTGAGGGAATGAAGATTATAGTACACATGCCATAATGTTATCATCCTTTAGTTGCGTCCTATATATCTACGAGTTTTATGAACTCAGAAAAGCATTGATATGAGGGAATGAATATCTACAATATTCCGCAATATTTCGATATTGCCATCCTCAAGTTTAGACCTCTATATCGAATTTGTAAACCCTTATTTATTTAAGTTAAAATTTCTGTACCTTTTTCTATTCGTTTTTAGTTTTTAAAATTTCGCACTTCTGTTTAATAAAAACATTATTTATTTTTAAAGAATATTTTGTTAAATTTTAATAATATTCAAAAATGATTTCGCTCTGAAAACTTTATTTTTCTACCATAAAAAAATAAAAATTTTAACTATTAACTACTACGTTATTAAACAATTTGTATGATGCTATACAATTGCTCTATATATTATATAAAATAGACTTTAAACTGTCAAATAATTTTTAATAGATCACTTTCTAGGATGGTAACTCATGGGTGTTTCAATTTCTATATGCATAGTCTAAATTTTAAAACTTAATATATCTCAAAGACCGTAGTACCATTATAGCATATTTTTGTACTTCATTCAATGCAAACTCACTATAACTCAAGGCAAAGTATTTTTAAAGTCATTTTTACTAAAGAAAATAATACTTAAAAAGCAAATAGAACAAATAAAATTTAGTTTTTTAAAATTTACATATACATATACACATATATTGAATACACATAAACACACATGTATTATTTATTTATGATTGCAAGATTACTAAAAAAAAAATTTAATCCAAATATCTTTTATTAAAAATTAATAATGTGTATTTCACACAAAATATATACAAAAGAAAAAATACAACAAAAATTATAAATACGAATATGTATGCATTAAAACTATTATATGGAAAATATAAATAAACATATAAAATATTCTGAAACGTAAAAAAGTCATTGATTTATTTTGAATTTATGATAATGTATTATAGTATATAAAAAACAAGGTAAGTAATATTTATTTATTAAGTATATAATGTATTTATAAAAGGTCATTCATTTTCTTTGCCGACACTTGCCGGAAAATGTATTCAGTTTAGGAACTACATGTCTAATTACGTGTCTATCCGATATAGCAGGCAGAGGAATTAAAAATATTTCCCGTTTTATTCAGTAAAAATTGATTCCCGTTAAAAAGCAAACGAATTTTTATCTTAAGTTAAATTACTATGACAATTAATCCAATTGTTCAGACAATGTAGCCCCTTAATACATATGTTCTACTACTACTTGTGAACCCACTACTTCACATTTAAGTAACTTATGCGTAAAGGAGTTATAGCAGCTACTTAATTATGAATTAATTATTAAACCAAGCGTTGGACACTTCTTTCTTTGGAATTACGAAAATAGCTGGCGTGCCCCTACAACTGTAGCATTAGAATGAACCCATCTCAAAGACATATATGAATAGTGTGTTTTACGAGGTAGGCTATTACTGACACCTACCAACGATCATATCATATCCTATTTTCATATGTGTTGTATATATACTTTAACCAGAGCTTTAAAGTGAAATCCCGACATTTTCATATAACTGCACTGAACTATTGGGTTGGGGAAATTTATTTTAGAAAACTATACAGTTCACAGCCATGATCTTAATAAATGTTCCCTGAAGATTTAAAGATTCAATTGAACTGCTTCAAAAGAATTAATAATTTTATTTAAAATTTATTTAAATTTTATTATTTATTATTCATTAATTATTTTTTATCAGATTCGTCATAGTTAAAAAACTGCGGTGAATTTGATCCGTCTTATTATTAGGTTAGTGTAGCAGAAACTTAAGAAAAAACTAGGCATCTACTTAGCTTACCAATAGAAGTTATAACTAATATAGTGGTGTCTTGCTGTGACCCGTAAAAACTTACATATATATCAGAAACCATATAAGTATATAAATATATGGGCTAGCATGTAATTGAGTGACGAGATGAGAACGTGGATGGTTCTTGTCGTAGCTTGCATAAACTCTCACTGACTTTTCAATAGACACAGTCTTAGGCTGAGAGTGTTCCTGTTTCGAATATTGTAGACATTTTGGAAATGAGATATATATGATAAAACATCTATTTTATAGCACACAGCTTTTGGCAAAAGCAGATTGATTGATAGACAATTATATCAATTAATTCTAGCACAGCAGTGTCTGTCGCTAAGATTAATAACAACCTGCATTTTATTAGGGTCTCAAAATTGTGACATAATTTACAAATAGTAAAGGAGTACAAGAGGTTTACAGTCCTTCATATTGATTCAGTATCCTCTTTGAGACTATAGTTTCAAAGCAACAAAGTTCTCAATAGGCCTCCGCCTGATATTTATATAGGTAAGAAAAGCGCCATCATCGTTTCGCAAGAATTGTTCTAGTGCAATTGAGATCAAGGTTAGCTATGTGCTAAACATTTACTTGTCACGCATAAATGTGTGGTTTAATCTGCTCTTCATCGTTAAGCAAGAGCTGTCTTAGCACAATTGATTTCAGGATATGGCCATTTGCTAGACTGTTACTTGAAACTAATCAATTTGTAACATAAAAGCTCAACTAATCATAACGTTATCTATCTATTCTCATACCGTAAAGCAAACACCACTTATACAGTTAAATTCTATGGGTTATTGGCTCCGACCTATTAACGTTGTTAAGTTACTTCACCTCGAAGCTATTTTACTTCTTCTTCTCACTCAACTTTAATAGAATAGCATCCTAATCCACAGGATTAGGACATTTAATCCCTATTGCTCATTATCTCCGACATATTGAGGTTGCCAGTTTACTTCACCTCGAAGCTAATTTTCTACTTCTTCTCACTTAACCTTAACGTAATTGCATCCCGATCATTGAGAATTAAATATTTAGATTCATGTACCATTTGATACCAAATAAATTACGATATTATGTTAACAGGTACAGACTATAACAACATTAATTATAATTAACACAAAAATTTTATTTTTAATTTTTTATTTATACATATCAGATTTTACATTTTAATTTTATAGAATTGAAATAACTAAAATTTTGCATACATACAAATTAATTTAAAATGATATAATGATAATCAATTATAATAATAATAATAGTTTACGATTACATATTATAAGCAAATTTAATGAAAAGTTAACTAAGAACTAAACATGAAATCATCAGTTGGTTTTTATTAAAAATAAAATTTCACAATTCTTACATTGTTTTAAGAATTTAATATAGAAAACTTTTAATATATTAAACTATTCATTTACAAATATGTATATTTTAAATTATACATTTTCATAAAATTTTTACATTTGACAATTGTTTTTTTTGTTTTGTTTTTAACTTAAGACGGGCCTGGTAAAAATATATATTTATTTATTTAATTTTATATATGTATATATATATATATATAAATTTTATTTTAACAACAAAATTGAAAAAATTCTTTATCATCATAAAATCTTAAAAAAAATTCACTCAAAATAAGTAATATTATTTATATTTTTTAATTTTCTTGAATTCCATAGCTTGTAAAAATAGTTGTAAATCAACAGCTTGTATTTGCCCATCGATATCTTAAAAATAAAAAAGTTTTTTTTATGAATAAGAAATTGTATAATTTTACAATTAACTTTAAACTTAAAACTAATACATCATTGTTTCTAGAAGTGATTTTAATATGCTATACAATCAAATCTTTTATAGCAAATTGATGGGGATTTTAATTTAAAGCAAATCATAAAGTTGTCTTTTTAAAAATTTTAAATATTTTAATTTCCGTTACAAAATAGATATTGCGGTAAGTTTAGCAATAATTTTATTTTTTAAAATTGTTTTTTCTTTTTTGGTAATTTATTTAGTTACAACGGTGTTAATATATTTTTAATTTTTTAAATAATTTAAATTTTTCATCAAGACTTTATTAAAAATTAAAAAATTGTTTTTATGTTTGCTATTTTAAATACAAAATATATATGAGCTGTTTGCACACTTTTTACAAAAAATTGTAACAATATTTTTTATAATTTTAATTATAATTATAAATATATATGTATATAAAAATAATTATAAGTATTAAATTTTAAGTATATTTAAGACGATTTGGTTATGCTATATTTGCTTTCAATTTTCTTTCATATTATTATGATTAAAATGAAATTTATGAGACTGAAGCACTTTTAAGTAAATGAGCAACAAACAATTTCTAAAACTCCATAGACATTATAAACATTAATTGGTTTTTATATTAAAAAAAGAAAAAAAACTCAACAGCTACACTGGGTGCTCAACAAAACAGGAACAAAATTATATAGGAAAACATATGGTTAGGTAAACATATTGATATATATGTTATATAAATATATATAAAACTACTTTTTTTTAAAACTGACTGATATGCTTAAAATTTGAATAACTTTGTTTAAATTATAAATAAATTGAAATTATTTTTTGTTGTTAAATTTGCAACATAAAACTGAATAAATGTAATTTAAAACATTGAAACATTTAATCAATGATTTTTTTTATAATTAGTAAAATATATTGTTAATAAGTAACTAGTTTATTTAGCTTCTTATAACAGAAGGACAAACATAGAGAAAAATATATAGTAGTATATAGCAGTATTTTACTGAATTAAATTATGATGAAATTAAAAGATATTGAAATGTCCATAAAAAATGATACATAAAAAAGCTAATATAGAATATAAAATATATTATTAGCTTACAATATACTTTAATAATTTTTTTTTATAAATATACTGTTTTGGATATTTTTTAAGTAGCAGCTGTTTTAAGTTTGTCTTCACAGACCGAATTTTATGTCTGTTTAATAATTATCAAATATTATTAATGTTCTGTTGGTGTTCTAACAAACATCAAATTTTCTAATTATTATTCTATTATTGTTATAATTGTCTCGTTAGTTGTTGTTGCTGCTGTGATAACCTTTGAACTTCTTAGCAGTAACCAAATCGTGCTAAATCTCATCTGGATAAACTATGAGAACGCTCACGGCTGCTACTACCTGATGAGGTATTTTGTTTAGTGTTACCAAGATCACCGATACGTTGATGAGGTGGAAGTTTTTCGAAAAATGGATGCCTCAAGGCTTCACCTATTAAAGAGAAAAACATAAATAAAAATTAGTTTATAATAAAAAAAAAATTATGAATCATTCGAAAAGAGCGACACCTTCTTTTCTATATTCAAAACGAATTTATTATTTATAATATTTAAATAGTTTATTACGTTCATTAACTCTATCATAGTTTAAGCTATACTGGTCTTTTATTAATATGGGAGATTGCGCGCTGCGATCTAGAGTTCTTTTATCTAGAGTACTCTCTTTAGAGATTCAGAATATTATTTTAACTTCAAATATATTTTGATAAATTGCGGTATTAAACTTACTTGAACCTACTTTCAAACTATTATTTTTACAAAATCAAGTTGTACTGAAATGATTCCTTTGACACATTTAACATAAATACTTACTGTATTTTAGGAATGTACTAAGCCTACCTTTCAAAATAGTTGAAAACATTAACTTTATTTACACAATATAAAGAAAAACAGTTCTCAGTTACGAGAAATTTTATTTTAAATATTAAATAATTATTAACTGTAATTAAATTAAAAAATCAAACAAATTTTTTTTATAACTATTATTCATTCAATTAAAAATAATACAGCTTCATTAAGGAACCATTTCAGTTGTTCAAAATGTTAAAATATACATACAAAATAAGACAAATTTTAAAGAAACACTTGTTTATATTATTATAGGACTAACATAAAAAACGTTATGTTATTAAGTAGTTAATAAATACATTAATACGATTATTAAATACTGTAATATTATTAAAAACACATAAATACTTTTTTTTAGTACTTTTAGCATGAGAACATAAACACTTACCTAAAGTAACACGTTGGGATGGCTCATATTCAAGCATTTTTTTAATTAAGTCGAAGAGTTCACAATGATCCTCAGTATCACTCATTTGATATCTGAATAATGGCTTACAATGATCGCGAACGTAACGTCCAGCTGATGACTTTTCATCCCAATCCAACTTACCGTGGTAGAAATATTTAGTTTTAGTTTTGCTGTAAAGAGTATGGTTACTACAAATTAATCAAATTTCATGAAGTAAACTGCGCGTAAATAATTGTAAGCGTGTTTTGCTTTGCATTACCGTGCCATCCTATAAGGAATTTGTCCAAGTATGCGCTCCATCATGGCAAGATGTTCGCGATTTTCATGAGTTTGAAATAGTGTAATACCCAAATACAGTTCAAATAGAATGCAACTATTTAAATAAAATTTTATTATTCAAAAAATAATATAAAATAAATAAATAAAATAAACTTACCCAATAGACCAAACATCACAAGGTTGTGACCAACCTAATTCTAAGATAACTTCTGGTGCACGATAATGACGTGTTGAAACAATTGTGCTGTGATGTTCATGATCAAATGTAGCTGAACCAAAATCAATAAGGCGGACATCAGTGTTTTTGACACGTCGCACTTCACAATTCTATTGTAAGATAAAAAAAAATTTATTTTTTAATTAATTTAAAATTAAATACAAATTTTTTTTTTCTATAATAATACTTACTAGCTTATGATTATAGTGTGTTGCATACTCTGAGTCAACGAAAAGTATATTTTCTGGCTTAAGATCGGTATGTGTCAAATGATTGTCATGTAAAAATTTGACCGCATAACATAATTGATAGGCCATGTGCCGTACTTGCTCCAATGGATACGGTTCATAGTTGTTCTCACGCTAACATAACGAATATTTAGATATTATTTTTAATATGAATGAGTCAAGTATTTCAAAAAAAAAACTTACCAAGAAATCGAAAACACTCAAGCCCAACATTTCAAAAACGATGCACATGTGGCCGTGATAGTCAAACCAATCAACCATTTTAACACATAAACTGAAAGTAAATAATAAAGAAAAAGAAATTAGTTTGCAATTAATTATAATATAATTTTTTTTTTGATACGACATAATTTATAAATATTTTTAGAAGAATTAATAATTATTTACACTATCAGCGAATTGTTATTAGGATCAAATAAAAACAATTTTTTTATTATCAGGACTAATCACTGAACATTATTGATCCAAAAAGGGTATACAAGTGTAGACATATTTTGGGATATTATATATTATTATTGCCAGCATAATTTCTATAGTTCATTCCAATCTTAAAATTGTCAACGTTTTAAATTTTTCTAATTTCTATATAGGGACGTGATATTATTACAACTCAGTGTTTATATACATTATTAACAGAAAGTAAACTCAAAACAATCAAATTTCTATTTTCTGATTATTTGCTTTGAAAATTCTCTTTAACATATAGATAATTTTTAACTATTATTTAATACTTACTGATCACAATGTGGATCCTTCTGTGATATTCTCTCTAAAACATTAGTTTCGAGTTTAGCGGCTTCACGATATTTTTCCACATTTTTAATAATTTTTAATGCCATACAGTAATCTCTGCAAAGGTAATAAAAAAAAAAAATATTATTTTTAATATTAAAAACCACATATTATGTATTAAATATAAAATAAAAATGTTTTTC